CCTCCCGGGTTCACGCCATTCTCCTGCCTCAGCCTCCCGAGTAGCTGGGACTACAGGCGCCCGCCACCACACCCAGCTAATTTTTTGTATTTTTAGTTGAGACGGGGTTTCACCGTGTCAGCCAGGATGGTCTTGATCTCCTGACCTCGAGATCCGCCCGCCTCAGCCTCCCAAAGTGCTGGGATTACAGGCGTGAGCCACCGCGCCCAGCCAATAAATGGTTTCTTATTAAAGGATTGTGACATTTAATAGCCGTTGCTTGCTCTTGTCTTTTCCCCTTCTCTCCCGAAACTTGTAAAGAAATGACTCAATATTCTGGCTTTTCCACCTTAAATCTCATACTGACCAGCCCGTGTATGCCAGCCTCGATCTCATCGTTTTCTTTAACCGGTCCAACTCCCTTTGGCGTCCCAGTCAAGATAATATCTCCTTCTTCCAAGGTTATGATCTTAGAAACATAGCTGATGATGTAGGGGATGGAAAAAATCATGGAGGCTGTCTCACCCTCCTGTCTGAGTTCGCCGTTGACCTTGAGCCAGAGCTTCAGCTTGTGAGGGTCAGGGATCTTCTCCTTGGGCACAAACGCGCTGACCGGGCAGGACGCCGTGAAGCTCTTGGCCAGAGTCCAGGGCAGCCCCTTCTTCTTGCACTCGTCCTGCACGTCCCGGGCGGTCATATCTAGGCACAGGGCATAACCGCCCACGTAGTCCATGGCCGCGGCCTCGGGGACCGCGCGGCAGCGTTTGCCCATCACCACGCCCAGCTCCAGCTCGTGGTGCAGGTTCCGAGTGTACGCGGGCATGATGATGGGCGAGCCCTCGGGCGCGTAGGCCGTGGACGGCTTCAGGAACAGCACGGGCTCGCTCAACACCGCGCTGCGCATCTCCCTGACGTGGTCCGCGTAGTTCCTCCCCACGCAGACGATGTTCTTTCCCCACTCCCAGAAGCGGGACAGTGGCCGGGAGGCTGCCATGATTCCCATCAAGTGCCCCTGTAGTCACGTGCGCTGGGCCGGTCAGCTGATGCCTACGGCACCCCGGAGAGGACCAACTGCCTCGGAACGCTGTCCCCGCAGCGACGGCTCGTTCCACCTCGCGATCTGCCGGGTGCCCGGGCGGCGTGGTGCTCGGCCTCCAGGAAGCCGCTTCGCGGTGCCAAAAAAGAGGCGGAGGCTCG